GGGCAAAACCCCTGTTAACTGTTTTAGAAACGACAATTAGCTTTAACTCATGAACCAAAGGTCCTAGATCCATCGGGTCTTCAGCAATGACATTTGGGACCAATGACCTTGACAAAGGTCACAAGGTCAAAGGTCAAGGTCATGTCCCAGATAGCGAATTAAGTGTTTTTAACCTTATATAAAAGATTTTAGTGTGTTTTCAAACTTTTTAAGGTTGACCTTGACATTTGACCTTACAACTTTTTATTGGATATCTCAAAAACGGTTAGTCTTACAGAAATCGTAAATAGTGCAAAATGTTTGGGTCATAAAGGCGCAACTTCTTTACTTTTTGACCGAAGAGATTTTACCTATCCGTAAGGGGCATAACCCCTGTTAACTGTTTCTGAAAAGACAAAATTAGCCTTAACTCTTGAACCAAAGGGTCTAGACCCATGAGGTCTTTTATACTGACATCGTAGACCAATGACCTTGACAAAGGTCAAAAGTCAAGGTCATTTTGCAAAAGCGGATTATGTGTTTTTTGTCATAGTTTAAGGGTTTTATGTGCGTTTTTGAGCTTTTCAGTTCATTCTACGCCTTTTGAATCATATATTTTACATTACGAAAAGGAAAGACCTCTCAATTGTTCAAGAACAATTGACATTTTAATTTTCCCTACATTTTAATATGGGGAGATAATATAATTCAGTTTTCATATAGTCTTTTTCAAAAACGTTCAAATGCTTTATGTAGGTTCCAATCATAATTTCTCACTAAAGCATTTGACATAAGTTTGAAGTTTCTGGAATAAAGTGGTGGTTATGGTGTTCTATTTTTGTGTTTGTGCCTATGTGTATCTTGTGTGTGTTTGTTTTTAGGGGGGTGTTACACAGCATACATGTATTTGTCTTTAGGGATTCAAGTAATGCAGATAAATTAAGACAATATGCTTGCTTCATTTGAATTCTGACATCATTATATATATCATATTAAAACAATAAATGCTTTTATAAGTAGCAGGATCAATGCTGTGGAGGTTATATGATGCGGACAACAACTTAAAACTGGTATTCTTGAAAGCAGAATGAAACATGTGTTATTCACCTGAATTAGTTTGAGACAGATGCACTATCTGTACTCTTACAGTACATCGCCTTATCAGATTAAGTAACGTAATACGTAACTAAAGAATATTTATAAAATTATGAAAGGTTCTTTATATTGGTATATAATAATTTCAAACGTTTCAAAACAAATAGATAAAATTTTAGATATGCATAAATGTCTTTAATAAACCAATGATAAATACTAAGATCTATAAAATTTATAAATGTTGTAATGATTTAAAATTAAATCAAATAACTATGCGTAAAGATGAAATTATGAACCTGTTCAAGGGAAACAAAAAACGCATTGATTTGATAGACTTTTTGGAATTGAAACATAGTACAAAGGAATGTTACTCTTGCATACAAATAACACATCAAAAGAATTGATTAACACAACATTCCTGCTCCAGCTTCAATGATGATTCTAAATTATCAATATAACCAACAGTTGTTAATCTATAGGGTTAGTGACTGCTAACGAATGCTAACCCACAGTAAAGTATATTTGTTTGAATTTTTTTTTAAACCTACTCAGAAATAAAATGCTCCGCTGGGGCGCAGCTTGATACGACCGCAGAGGTCGAACCCTGAACAGTTGGGGCAAATATGGACACAACATTCAAGCTTGATACAGCACTGAATTTGGATTGTAATTAAATATTTGACAAAGCATAGATTTCAGACACAGAATGAATGTGGTCTAAGAACTTAAAAAAAATTAATTTACCTATTCAAACCATATCATTATTATTTGCTTTTATACATAAATCAGAAATAAACAATTTAAAATGGAAAATTTTAAAGAAAAAAAAAGGAAACCTCCACCAAAATTTTTTTGAACCCCCCTTATGATTCATCACCCCCAAACTCAATCCCAGCCTTCCCTTTGTGGTATGGTACCTTGAAGTACAATTTCAGAGAGATCCATACACTTGAACACAAGTTATTGTCTGGAAACTAGAAAAATGCTTGTTTTTTGGCCCCTTTTTGGCCCCAAATTCCTAAACGTTTGGGGCAATTACCCCCAAACTCAAACCCAGCTTTCCCTTTGTGATATGGAACCTTGTAGTACAATTTCATAAAGATCAATACACTTACACACAAGTTATTGTCCTGAAACTAGAAAAATGCTTGTTTTTTTTTGCCCCTTTATAGCCCCTAATTCCTAACATTTTGAGGCAATTACCCCCAAAATCAATCCCAGCCTTCCCTTTGTGGTATGGTATCTTGCAGTACAATTTCAGAGAGATCCATACACTTGAACACAAATTATTGTCTGGAAACTAGAAAAATGCTTATTTTTGGCCCCTTATTCCTAAACGTTTTGGGAAATTACCCCCAAACTCAATTCCCAGCTTTCCCTTTGTGATATGGAACCTTGTAGTACAATTTCATAAAGATCCATACACTTACACGCAAGTTATTGTCATGAAACTAGAAAAATGCTTGTTTTTTGCCCCTTTTTCCTAAAATTTGGAGGCAATTACCCCCAAAATCAATCCCAGCATTCCCTTTGTGATATGGAACCTTGTGGTACAATGTCAGAGAGATCCATACACTTACACACAAGTTATGTCTGGAAGTTACAAAATGCTTATTTTTGGCCCCTAATTCCTTAACTGTTGGTACCATAACCCCCAAATTCAATCCCCACCTTCCTTTTGTGGTATTGAACCTTATGGTAAAATTTCATAGAGATCCATTCACTTAAACTAAAGTTAGAGTCCGAAAACCAATGTGTCTTCGGACGACGACGACGACGACGCCAACGTCATACCAATATACGACCTCAAAATTTTTTTGCGGTCGTATAAAAATGCATGAACTACTTGACTTTCATAGCTTATAATTTTATATAATATAGTCATTAAACATTATTTACTTCTAACAGTATAAGACACAATGCAAGATCATATGGTTGCATCAACTTACCCAATTAAAGATTTAATACAAGCCTGAACATTTTGACATTGTTTTTTTTTATCTGTGTCGGTTTTTGTCGAGCCTGCGACTTTTGTCGCAGAAAGCTCGACATAGGGATGATCCGGCGGCGGCGTTAGCTAACTTCTTAAAAGCTTTATATTTTAGAAGGTGGAAGACCTGGATGCTTCATACTTTGTATATGGATGCCTCATGTTACGAAGTTTCCATCAGTCACATGTCCAATGTCCTTGACCTCATTTTCATGGTTCAGTGACTACTTGAAAAAAGTTAACATTTTTTGTAATGTTAAATTCTCTCTTATTATAAGTAGTAGGATAACTATATTTGGTATGTGTGTTCCTTGCAAGGTCCTCATGCCCGTCAGACAGTTTTCACTTGACCTCGTCCTCATTTCATGGATCAGTGAACAAGGTTAAGTTTTGGTGGTCAAGTCCATATCTCAGATACTATAAGCAATAGGTCAAGTATATTCGGTGTATGGAAGGACTGTAAGGTGTACATGTCCAACTGGCAGGTGTCATCTGACCTTGACCTCATTTTCATGGTTTAGTGGTTATAGTTAAGTTTTTGTGATTTGGTTTGTTTTTCTTATACTGTATGCAATAGGTCTACTATATTTGGTGTATGGAATGATTGTACATGTCTAGCTGGCAGGTGTCATTTGACCTTGACCTCATTTTCATGGTTCAGTGGTCAAAGTTAAGATTTTGAGTTTTTTTTTTTTTTCTAATACTATATGCAATAGGTCAACTATATTTGGTGTATGGAAATATTTTATGATCTATATGTCAGTCACGCAGGTTTTATTTGACCTTGACCTCATTTTTACAGTTCATTGCTCAGTGTTAAGTTTTTGTGTTTTGGTCTGTTTTTCTTAAACTATAAGCAATAGGTCAACTATATTTGTTGTATGGAAGAATTGTTAGCTGTACATGCCTGCCTGGCATGGTTCCTCTGACCTTGACCTCATTTTCATGGTTCATTGGTCAATGTTTAGTTTTCTTGGTTAATGTTAAGTTTATGTGACAGTTGTAATAAAGCTTTATATTTAGGACTATCAACATAATATCAATGATTAGTAAAGAAGGCGAGACATTTCAGCGTGTACACTCTTGTTTAACATTATCACAACTTCCTGTTAGGATTTGACTAAATATCCATATCCTGATATCGTTAGGTAAATACACTATACATCTTTGATAGATTACTTGTTTGTTCATTTGTGCTATTACAGTTTATTCTATGGTGGCTGTTTAACCTCCAAGTGGCTCTTACTCCTATAAGCTATATACTTAGCATGGAAGCAGGAAATCCCAATCTTTTAAGTCTTTGTTTGAACTGACCTGGGATGAAACCCATGACCACATGGCCAATATCACCAAGAACCATATGTGTATGCACCAACATATACAATCACACATAAGGGGTACTCCACTAGTCTAATGCACCAGAACGAATTGTTTGTGTTTGGTAAAGAGAAAACTATTTGCTAGTCATTGTTTCTTTGGTTTGACACCAAATGTTTGTCAGGAAAAAGTAGAGAACACATTTCTTCTAGGTTTTGTGTTATTGTCTCAGTGCCTTACTCCAAACATCTTTTATTCATAAACATCTTTCAGATACGAAAATGGAATATTGAAATGCTTCAAAAAAATTAAATGTCTTGAATGCCAATATGTAAAAAATTTGAGAAAATGTAATGCAATTCCACACAAACAGGAGAACTTTCAGAATATTGGTCCTCTCCATGATTATGTATACAAACCATTACCATGACAAGATAACGCAAAATCTCGCATTTCATTTTTAAAACATAATTTTTCTCTCAATAATTTACAATTAACCCACAATAAATCTTTCCTCTATTTTTAATCAATGATTACCATCCAATATCTAGCTGGTACTGAACAAGTCTGCAAAATGTTATTGTTGAGACCTTATCGTTTAAATAACCATAAGCAAAGCTAATATATTCAATATTTATTTTCTGAGTTATTTATAATACATTAAGTCATTTGCCTTAGTTTCCATTTCCATCTGGCAATCAAAAAATAACTTTTTACTTCAACACAATAATTGGCTTGGGACAAATAAAGCCTTTCTGACCTATCTTGTTCATAAAAACAAATCTTTCAAATAAATAGAGCATTATATAAAATCAAATTTGTTCTAAAGCATTCTGCAACATTCATTTTAAATTCAATACTGATTCAAAACAAGCTTCTGGAACTTACTGAACATGGAGAATTCCACTAATAAAATTTCTTCCACCATTACACACATTTGTTAAATAAAATGTTTTGAATCAGTATTATAATTCATTCTGGCTACACAAATAATTAGCAATGTCATTAATAGGCATATTTTGAAACAGCAAAACAAATGTACAAATCACGAACATTAAGAAAAAATCATATGATAGATGTGTCTCATAAAAATTTCGTAAATTTGAAAAAACCCAATCATTTGTTTTAAAAAGCCATTACATGTTGATTACCTTGAATCCATTTCACTATGTATACAAAATTGATATATTTGCAGATATAAAAGAAAAGGTACTTAGAATGCTCTATGAAATGTTATCCAGCATAATAGCAGGGGGACAGTTGGATTTTATTTGAATACTTGCTGACATCAATATATTATTTTACTGCTGCAATTCCACTGGAACTTATAATAAATTTAATTAAAATTTGCATGAGCAAGTATTAAAATAAAACATATACCTCCAATTCAAATGCAATGTCAAATTATTCATGCTATAAATTGTTAGTTTCTACTATGAAAGAAATGTAGGTCGAAGAAATGAATGCATATGTTCTTCTCATGTGATATGCTCGACAGGTAAAATAAGAAATACCTGGGAGAGTCTATGTCACTCATTCTTTACAAAAATATAAAATTATGAACACTACAATTTGACACAAAATCACAATTTTCTGCTATTTTTTTGAGAACTTTTCTAAAACAATTTACATGAATGACATTGCACATTTGTAAATCAACATTTAAAAAGAATGAATTTACAAGTTTTCAGACACAACTCTGCCTGGAAAAACAACATTAAAATTGAACATTTAAACATATTGATTGCAGAAAAAAAAATACCCCTCAGTCCAATGTGCATTACAAAATGCTGGGCTATAATTTCTAAACACAATATCAAGGCTAGGAGAGAGATGTGTAATGGTGGATGCACCATATCTGTCCAGAGATAGCACTAAAGATGAAAAGTTTACAAGAAATAGTCGGGTGTTCTCCTAGTCACATGAGGTTCTCCTCTTCTTGGAGCAGGATCAAATTGTAAACTGTAAAAAAGAAACAACCAAGATAAATATAAGGTTGCACACACTATTTTGCTACAGTAATAAATCAAAGTACTTCCTTCTGCTAAGTCCAAAGCAATTTACTAAGTCTCATAGCAATCCTAAATGATATCATCTTTTGATTGATTTGTCAAATATGCAGATTACCGTTTACTGGTATCTGATGAGAATAAATTTTAAAAGGTGACCATAGTAAATAGTCAATTTTTTGTTTTAATATCAGTCTGAGAATATTTCAGATTGCCATGGGTTTATATTGTCATGTGCATATTTATTAGTGTAGTTCTGTTCTATAACTGCTCTTTTAGGCTTGTTATAACTCTAATATTAGATCTTATATAGTCAGGTATTTATTGCAGCAAACTAGGGATACCAAATACCAATTTTAGTCCCATTTTCGTAAAAGTTTTCCAACTTATTTGTTCTTTTTTTTGTTGTCCTGTGATGTTCAAATTTTCAGAAAAAAATTAAGATGTGTTCTTTCACAAAACAATTTATCAAGTTAACACATAAGATATTTTTTGGAATAATACAAAAGTAAGCATTTGAGGGGTCACTTAATCTCTGACAACCTGTCTGCAACTTTAGTTCCAATAATTTCTACAATTTCAATATCTGATTCAATTTTGGCCCTAAGAAGCTTGAAACCATGCATATGAATTAATAACTCAAACAACATGAACAATATGATGTTGTTACCAATATAAGTGAAAATATAATAAAGTGAAGATATTTGTATTTTTTATGAGATATACATACAATGAATATTTAAGGGCATCATCTAATTCCATTATTGCTGCTTGGTTTCCACATCTGTAGCAGTAATTTGGTGCACTAAATATAGTAACGACATTCCTATCATGACACCAGTTGTAGCCCTACAATAAAACAAAAGTGTTTACAGGAGATAAACCAACTTTCTGTATGTGAATTGTGCAATGATTGGTAAAAAAATCTTAATGTAGCCATTTGTAAACATGTGAAAATTGCTTATGTGTCATTCCTTAAAATAAGCATAGGAAATGATATTAAAAAATTTATTATTTCAATTGGACAAATATAGTCATTATCAAAGTAAAAGCATTTTTTAAATATATAGCTAAGTTATTTTTAGTGGTTTCATTGTTCATTCTTTATTTCTGTTAATGTTAAACAATTTTTTTATATACTTTGATGTAAACTATTACCTATCCCCATCTAGTCAGTAAAGTGTGAAAGTGGGTCAAACAGACCTACTCCAAAAGTGAAGTAAAGCTGCATACAAGTGATGGGAATTCTAAACATTAGATGTCATAATTAAATGCACTGAAGTATGAAATGTATGTCATGGTGACCTATTTGCATGACAAACTGTACTTCATGACATATGCTTTCAAAACAATACCATCCTCTCTGATACAGATTCTGAAATATGGGAACTGCACATGGATGCTAAGTGTCATCCAATAGAAAATTAAAAGTGACTATGATCACTGAATTGTACAGATTGCTTATATTTCCATTTAGCAACATTGATTCGTATTTATCAGAAAAATTATATATTTTAAATTAGAGTTATCTTCCTTTGTTCATAATTGTATATTGGTTGTAAAACCTACTTTTACAACAGATAAATTCAAATGCCATGCATAACTTATATAATTTTAGTAAAATAATTGTCTTAGCAAGTTTGGTTATTCAAATACATAAGTATCACAAATCATTAATAATTGCATGACATTTGCTGGATGTGATCTAGAATGTTCACCTCACAGCACTGCGTTGTTTTAACTATCAAATGCAATGATAAACCCAGCAAGATATACAGGTAGATAACAAGCCAATAGCAAGAGGGTTTTTCAATCTTTACCCCAAAAACAAATCATGCGTTTCTATTATACATACCTCCATGACAAGCTGATGTGCTCTAGATACCAGAGTTAAATTGTTACTATGATTAAATGTCTCGGATATATCATGACCAAATGTGTAACCAGCACCCCGAGGAGATATACCCCAGCCTCCTCTATCATCTGGATCTGACCACAACAAATCACACATGGGACCCTGTAAAATACAATTGAAAAAATTCATAGTTACTGCAAAGCTCTTTAAAGCTTACACCTACATGATATTTAGGTGCTATCTTAAACAATCCTCCAACAGGTTCAATTACTTAAATGATATTCAGTGTTTCGGTGGGTCAGCTGAATCCTTGCCATTTCAATTTTGTCCGACTAGCCTTTTATGAATTCTGTAAGTTGCACACCAATAGTAAATGCAAGATTTTCTTAAATGTGAACGAACTGATTTACAAGGTTTATATAATTTTTGGATACAAGTATAAATGTATCAAAGCATGCTTACCTCGTGTGGAACTTCTTGTAATCTATCTAATGCTCGTATATGATCTAATGTGTCTATTGAAGGTGATAACCCACCATGTAAACAAAATATCTGAAAGATAAAAAAGTATTCTATATCATCTTTCTGTCAATGACTTAAAATTATGAAGTACTCATTTCAAAGTATTTTCTCTATCCTTTCTTAATAGCTGTCGAATAAATTGTTAATAAACTGCTTCGCTGAGCGCAGCTGGATACGCCCGCAGAGGTCCAACCCTGAACAGTTGGGGCAAAAATGGACACAATATTCAAGCTTGATACAGGTCTGAATTTGGATTGTAATTAAATATTTGACATATTATAGGTTTCTGAATAAATGTAGTCAAAGAACTTGAAATTGGTATTCAATTAAAGATTTCTTGCTGTTGTGCAATACACTGTGCTGTTGCGCAATACTTAGTAAATCTGTTGTCAGACTATAAACAAATAAAGTTCAATTTATTCTCAATGTCATTTTTGAAATTTATGAAAATCATAGGGAGATTACATCAATAGCTATAAATAATTCACCAAAGTTTCATGAGAACTGCTGAAAGCATTTTTCAGTTATTGTCCAAAAACTGGAAAATAACCCTTTTTGTCGAGCCTTCGACTTTTGTTGAAAAAGCGAGACATAGCGATCCTACATTCCCTCGGCGTCGGCGGCGTCCACAAATATTCACTCTGTGGTTAAAGTTTTTGAAATTTTAATAACTTTCTTAAACTATCCTGGATTTCTACCAAACTTGGAAAGAAGCTTGTTTATGATCATAAGACAGTATTCAGAAGTAAATTTTGTAAAAAAAAAAAAAAAAAATCCGTATTTTACTTAAAAATGGACTTAGTTTTTCTGCCAGTTAGCATTACATTCACTCTGTGGTTAAAGTTATTAAAATTTTAACAACTTTCTTAAACTATCTTGGATTTGTACCAAACTTGGACAGAAGCTTGTATATGATTAAAAGCTAGTATCTAGAAGGAAATTTTGTATAAATGAACTTAGTTTTTCTTCCAGTTAACATTACATACAGTCTGCAGTTAAAGTTTTTAAAACATTTATTAGATTCATAAACTATCCTGGATTTTTACCAAACTTGGACAGAAGCTACTTACAATCAAAAGATAGTATAGAAAGGAATATTTTTTTCCTCATTTTTGTTGAGCCTGCGATTAACAGCAAAAGTAGGCGAGACACTGGGTTCCGCGAAACCCTTACGAATTTTTTTATGAATAAAACCAAATCACCCTTTTTTTATGAATAAAACCCTGTAACTCGGAAGCGTAAAATCTAGATATAAACAATTCACCAAAATTTCTTGCAAGTTTGTGAAAGCATTCTTGAGTTATTGTCAGAAAACTGGAAAATCCCCCCTTTTTTAATGAATAAAACCCCAAAACTCAGAAACGGTAAATCTGAAATTTATAAAAAACGAAAGGGAGCTCATGTCAATAGATATAAACAAATCACCAAAGTTTCATGCATATTGGTTAAAGCTTTTTTGAGTTAATGTCCGACATGTTGACAACGGACGGACGGACAGACGGTCAACGGTATACCATAATACGTCCCGTAAACGAGCATATAAAAATTATAGATTCATACAACAATGTCATATTTGAATATTCAATTGAGACATTACTTTTCAAACAAAAAAAGTCTGAACTTAAAAAAATAGTTTCTGCAAATACCTATATCTATTGTTAAAACCTTATGATGACATCTGAATGTTTTTGTTCTTTGAGTCATTGGGTTGCTGTCTTATTGATGTCTACTTATTTATATTATAATTGATCTACCGTGGAAATAAATCTTGTCCAATAATTTGTTTCTTACAAACAGCTATCAAATGTTGACATTATGTTGACCTCAGAATGTCTTTTGGGTTTTATATGACTTGGGTCTTGCAAACAATTTACCTTTTCAACAATAACAAAGACTTTGCCTTTTTGAGGAATTATTGTATATTTGTACAAGTATACTATATGTATTCCTTCATAAGGAGCAGAAGGCTCTAAACTTACTTGTCCATCTACTAAAGCTGTAAGTGGTAAATAGTCAAATAAATCTGTGAAATATTTCCATACTGTTGCATTACCATACTTTCTCAAGCACTCATCGTAAAAGCCATATACTTGTGTAATTTGTCTACTTTCATGATTTCCTCTTAGAATTGTTATTCTGTCTTTCCATCGCACCTATAACAAAATTACAGACTCATCATGAGTTATAGATACATTTAACTATGAAGTATAAAGACACTTTGTAATTTTATAGATTTTTTGTTATCTTTGTGTAGTGTTTATAGCAGCTTTGTAAAAGGACAGGGAATCATTTTACTCAGGGGGCATGCTTAGCGTGCATGGCAACTCTTTTAAGACACCCTAAGCGTGGAAGACAGTTTTAGGAGACATTTTAATAGAGATACAACAAAATATACCATTCTTGATACATATTTAAGGTAAAAATAGATGTTTACAGTATACATGTAATAGAATACTAGTTTCATTACTTTTTATATTAGAATAATTACTACTTAGATCAAATAAAAACTTCTGAGACATGCCTCATTCAATTTAATAACTCCAGTTACCGTATTCAACATATATATATATGTACCTTATCAACGGTATTTAACCCCATAATAAAAATTGCAAGGCAGGGTTGCAAATTGTAGAGTACTACAAGCAAGAAACAAGAGAAAACCTTTTGATTCTGCAATGTGTGTTTACATTCTACCATGTTCAATATGATGTTTACTCTTGACGATGATCCTTCAAACATTAATGTGCTGAATAAATTTAACAATATTGTACTAAATATATAAAAGACAGCTCTGTTTTACTTTCAAAGTCTTATTATTATTATATATGTCATATCTTTTATGTAAGGAATATTGGCCCACTCTCATGATCACCATATTTGTTTGCTATTCACACATATTTTTCATATTTTATATTAGTGATAATCATAACTTTCCATTTTTTTTTGTGATTTTCAATAATTTTACCACTTGTGAAGTGTTAAAAGAATCATTTACAAATATTTTCAACTTCTACTTGATGAAGGAAACAAGATTTTTAAAATGAAAATATCCCTGACATTTACAAGCGATTTAAATTAAAGGAGTTTCACTGAACAGTTTCAACAAGTGACCAAAATGTTTTCGAGAATTCCAGTGGCAAAAAGGGATGTGGGGATTATTTACCAATACAGATTATACACTGATGAATTGTATACTGGCTGGAGGCAAGGATGTACATGTATGGTATGATTTGTTGTGAAAGTCTGACGACTTGAATTGCCAAGAGCATAATCATTGCTTTCAATCCTGTATGATGCAAGTTTTGTGAATGTAAGAAGTTTAATCAAATAAATATCGTTTTGAATCCATTTTGAATCAGAATGCACTTTTAATTGTTGCTTTTAAAGATTGGACTGCATTAGCTAAAATATAGTTTTATTTTTTAACGAAAATGTGTAAAAAAAATGTGCTATACATACTTTCAACGCTACTAAAAGTGTTACAGTTTCTACAGAGTAATATCCTCTGTCTACATAGTCTCCCATGAACAAGTAGTTAGTGTCGGGTGATTTTCCTCCAATTCTAAACAATTCCATCAAATCATGGAACTGGCCATGGACATCCCCACACACAGTGACTGGGCATTTAACTTCCTGGACATTTGATTCCTTTGACAGTATTTCTTTAGCCTGAAAAAAAATCAACTTATTCATGTGTTGTTAAGGTGGTACCTAACACTACAGGTTAGATAACTCTGTAAAAATCAGCTAAACGTTTTAATCACATTGTTTTGTTAAGGAAATATTAAGCTTCTCAATGATCAAAATTAGTGTTTGTCAAACTGCTATATAACCAATGAAATTTTTCTGATAAAGTGGTTGGTTCAAATTTTTTGAAATTTTTATATTTTTGTCAAAGGGTCAAAGTAAACATTTTGTCAAAATTTTATGAAAATTAAACGAGCAAAATTAATATTAGTCAAGGTGTTGGGTACCACCTTAAAAACTTAATAGTGCTTCAAAATGCATTTTTGCATCAATAACAAACCAAACATTTGCATTTATAACAATAAAAGTCTTGGAAGTCTTTCTAATGATATCTAACAACATTTATCATTTCATAACTTACATGACTTAGAAATAAATTAATGCAAAATATATACTTCATCATTTAGGGCTTAATTACAAGCTCCAGCAAAAATGCATTATAATAGCCAGAAAATGAGAACAAATGTTCCTGAATATCATAATTGAACACTAATTATAAATAAGAAGAAAAAAACAAGGCCCACAAAACTGATTTGTTGTATAAATGTATATTGCTCAACAGTTTGATAATTGGTGTTACCACTAAGGCCATTAAAAAATGTGTGTTTACTGTCACCAGCTGAGAAAAAAATGGTCTTTATACTTGCAAAAATATTCATTTACTTCTTTATTTGATTTGAAAACTAGTAATAGCCATGTCCCATTACAAAATCCAATCCAATATTGCACTTCACTATATTCCCTGTTAGCTGCCATTTGTCGATGTATTTTTCCGTCAGTGATATTTGTTTTAACTTGGTTTTACATAATATATATGGATGAATTTTGGTTATACAAAAAGAACATAGCTGTCAAGAACAATACTGGTGAAAATATAATCATTAATATTTGCCCATTTTTTGAAGATTATAAGTTGTTAAGGAAACCAGATACAAGACCCTAGTGTGCCCACAGCAAGAATGAGCATCTTCTGTGTAGGACAACACACAACAGTGCACCTCTTTAGAATATGTTCAGCTTTATTGTAAGCAAGTACAGAAGACCAATCAGTGCAACATTGATGCTCCAGCAGTTGTCTCTTTCAAGCTTGTAGACATAAAGTCTGCTGCACAATGATGTATTAAGTTGTAAACAACCTAGAAGACCCTACCATTTCCATCACTACAAATGGTACCAACTACAGAAAAATCTCAATGAGCAGAGCATTTACATAAATTTTAAGTTACCTGGAATCTTATTTACCAGCTATCATAATACTAAGAAACTCCTAGTCAGGAGCTTTTGTCTATACCGATTCTCTTTACAGCCATGACAGCTTACAGAGAGGACCATTTAATGAACAAAGTTGCTTAAGAAGAAATGATTCTTTTTTTATTATCACATCGTCTCAAACTAACCGTTTTTTAAAACTATATTGTGACAATGCTAGAGTTGAGCACTGCATACAAAATTATGAAAAAAGACGTCATGTTTTAATAGTTAATCATTAACCTAGGATCAAAGATCTCCCATCAATGATTTATTACTTAAAATAATAAACATTAACTGTCAAGTAAGACAACAACTCCTATAAACTTTCCAAGTGAACATGGTTGGCTTTTATCTTTCATGCCAAACATCAGTAGACTTAACAGGTCAGGAATAACCATAGCTGCAGAACTGTACATGTAGCTTTAGGATAAAATAAGATAATGGTGTCAAGAAAATGAATATTCAAACATAAATAGGTATGTCATATCATAGACAAATATCCAACAAAACGAACTGTACATGTATACATTGACAAGCTATACACATGCAATAAACAATGAAAATTTGGGAAACAAGTGCGACCTGAACCTGGGTCACAATTCCAAACGTTTAGAAATAGGAAAAAACTGTACCTCTAAGGTCCGCAAATTATCAAAAAATATCATAAGGAATAAGAACTACAGTTCTGGAGTTAGAATAACCATTTAATCTGTGGATCATACCCCAATTTCACATAAAAAAAAGCCACCATTTGACATACCTCTAAATCAAATTCTAGATTTTAGAGCTGAAAACTCTGATTTTGAAACTGGGATGAGGTTCATGCTTGTTTTTTAGTTCCTCCCAATAAATACAGCTTTAGGTGTTAGAATTTATTACATGTTATTTATCCCTTAGTTGTTCTCAAAGCTTTGGATGATAAATGCAAACAGATGCACGAATATCATAATTTCAGATTTATTGTGAAGGAGAAAAACATACACAAAGATCTAACTTAGTATAGGTCAAATGGTGTATTACACATGAATTGAGGTAATTGTGGTTGTTACTGACAAGTTGAAGACTCAAAATAGCTACAGAACACTGGAATGAAATCTTTGAACAACTTTTTCCAAGGCTTTTAGTTAAATATGATATGAAACATTTCCAGAACACGTGAGCAAAGAAAACTATGGTTGCCATACAAAATTTAACGAAAATTAAGTCTGATCAAAATGTGTTGCCATGCGAGTTGGGATGCTACCGTTTTACACGAAATTCAAGAGCAGAGGCATACATTTTGCTATTATTGCATTAAAGTCATTATGACTGTAAGTAGCTTCTATGGGAAAACAGGTTATGAAGATGTATGTACCTTTTCACACAATGTTTTGACTTGATTTTCGGTCAGTTGTTTGCAATCATAAAGTTGTTCAATCCATGTATCAAGTTCTTTTGCTGTTGCATGATCGTCAACGTAACTCATTTCGAAAAGATATGTTTACATGTATTGAACTTGACAAAATGTATACAGAAATGCGCTATTTTTCTCTTAAATGGTGTTAATATCAAGTCTCAGCACATCGAGGCGCCGACAAAATGGCTGTGTCTTCCTTCTCGAGTGACGTCACTTTCATAAATAATTGTTAACGAATAGAAATTTTTATTTATATAAGGTTAATCAAAATGGCGAATAACTAAATTAAGAACGAATCGTTATGTGTGTCATTATTTATCTTAAATGATTAAAATTTTTAATGCAAATATAAACTGGTTTCTGAGTCACTTTGCTGGTGTCCTATTTCAATAAGTGACACCTATCGGAATTTTTCTAAACCAAGCGAGTTAAGAACATACTTCCTTTTCCGGTTTGCCCGTCTTAGTTCATGGCGAACTAAATAAGTTATATCGAATCTGCGCCAATCATAGTTGAAATCTCATTAAAAACAAGAAAACAATGGCGGAGCAAATGACGCTTAGAGGGACCCTCCAAGGGCATGGAGGATGGGTGACACAGATCGCCACTACTCCCCAATATCCTGATATGGTGTTGTCGTCCTCTCGGGGTAAAATCTCTTGCATCTGTTTGTTCTATTTATGACCTGAAGGTTTTGCACATACTCTCATTTGTAATAAATCTTCAAGCCGTTGCACCCACTCTTATTTTTAATTTGAAACGTTTTCGATGTTTGTTGCATACTGTTAGTATGTTTACATGTACATTTTTTGTCTTTTTTGAATGCCGGTAGAACTTTTGACAGCTCCAAATGGTGAGGACCAGCAGATTTTCTTCAAGGACCACTAGGGAAAAAAAGATTTAAAAAACTCTGGCATCTACTAGATATATATATATATATATAAGTAAATTTTAGTTGTGAAAAATTAAGTTTGAAATACTATCTACTTAATGGGCTGAATCATTGGACCAATTTGTGGTAACCTGTGAATCTCTTAACTGTAAAGTGAGGGGCCTCGGACAAAGTGTAGTCAGTTGATAACGAATTTAAGTTTGTTTATCTACAATTTGTATTTTCAGACAAGACCTTGATTATGTGGAAGTTGACCAGAGATGAAACAAATTATGGTTTACCACTCAGATGTTTAAGAGGTCATGGTCACTTTGTATCAGATGTAGTCATGTCATCTGATGGCCAGTTTGCCTTGTCTGGATCATGGGATAAGACTCTACGTCTGTGGGATCTTGGAGCGTAAGTCATTTCTAATAGTCTGCTTAAATAGTAATCTTGAATGTTCTTTAAAAGTTTCATAAAATTGACTTGACAGCTTACAACTGATGGCAATATTAAGGTGACTCCTAGTGTTAACTAATGTTGTACTCTTAAAGTAATGGATAACCAATACAAAATAAATATGTCTTTGACGAAACACAATCAGCGATAATCATTTTTCTGTACAATTAGCTGATTCCTTGTAAGGCCAATAAAAAATATATGTCTGTTTAAGGTTACATACTTTTAAAAAATAGGGAAGGGAGGTCGGTATTTCCATTTTATTTTATTTTTTCGTTTTAGTTTTTGTGACATGATTTTGAGTCATGCTGTTTCGTCTTGTCGTGGTCCGAGTTGATCTTGGGCAGAGTTTCCCCGTATTTTTAATGATTGGATTATTTCCCTTGGTAATTGGTTGGCAAAGTGTTTATTTCATCACACGAGTTGCGAATTTCCTAAAAACAACTGTCATTCACGATTGTGAACATTGGGATGTATCAGGCAATTGATTTATATTGTTTGCAACACTAACTTCGCTTTTGACACGAGTTCAGTTTATTTTTCACTTTACGACGGAAATAAAATGACAGGGTCAGCACTCAAAAGTAGGGTCGGTCAGGTAACCGTAAACAGACATATATATTTTTTTTTGGCCTAAATTTCATTTTGTCATTACAATTCTACATGTACAATGTTACATACAAACTATCAGAGCACATCCAAAATGCCTTTGAAAAGGAGGGGGGCTAAAAATGAAAGGACTGAATAATCCTCAATGAGACAACTATGCCAAAGACGGAAGAAGTTTCACCATGAGAAATTATATCATGAACAAACACTCAATACCTGTCAAATTGTAGTATGGAATATACACCTGAAATACATAAAATTAATTTACTGCATCTATTGAAAACTTTCTTCATGCAAAGAGTAAACACATTGTTAATATATATCTGAATTTGATATCATTCCGTAAGATATAAATGTGATAAGATATTAATTTGACTTTTCATACTTTTTCAGAGGAACAACAACCCGTTTGTTTGACAACCATGACAAAGATGTCCTCAGTGTAGCCTTCTCTGCTGACAACAGACAAATTGTTTCAGGTTCCAGAGATAAATCTATCAAACTGTGGAACACCCTTGGTGTCTGTAAATACACCATTCAGGTACTTTTTCAAATATTACAATGAAAGATGATCTGATTTAATAGTATTCTTATGAAGCCTCTGATATAATAGATAGATGATAATTTTGAATTTTGAGAGGATATTTAAAACATGAGAGAACCGCAGAAGTGAGGGAATATCAAAATTTGAAACAAAATTATCTCTCCAGTCCACGTGTTCTGTTTTTACCAATGATTATGAAAATATACATGTATTAGCTATTGATCAACATGAAACTACTAAATGTATGAGGTTAAACAAACAACTCTGCAGGAATGTTTTCTTGACTCTTGGCAAATTTCCTAAACATTAGGTCATTGTGCTGCCAACACTTGCCTTTAACTTGACTTGATGTAAATAACTATTAGTTTCAAATGGATTTTAACAGATGATCTATCTTACTTGATGCCAATAACCTGAAGTATCCATTGAATATTATTATATGGTCTAAAAAGGGTTTTTTGAAATTTGGAAACCATATTCAGTCTTGAGAGTAATTCCCTAGGTTACAAACCCACAAATTTAACATTTACTTATTAGTCTTTGTGCTGTGAATAAGTACCTTAAAAAAAAGCAAAAAATCAAGTCAACTTTGCATTAGGGACCTAGAACCCTTGTTTCCTTACAATTTCTAAATTTATCAATAGAAAATTTAAAATATGTTTATATAAAATCATGTTCATGTAGAACCACAACACTTCTGGTCTAATGGTAACCTCAGGTACTAAAGTCAGCCAGCAGTGGTATCGACCCAGTGCTAGTAAATAATGTAATAAAAGTTTATAATTCAAATTACATTAGTTTATTTTGTTAATACCTAAGATAGCAGAAATTTGAAATTATCTTTTGAATTGTCTTGTCTACAGGATGAAGGCCATAGTGATTGGGTATCCTGTGTTAGATTTTCACCAAATACAGCCAATCCAATTATTGTATCCTGTGGATGGGACAAACATGTTAAGGTAAGGATGTCATTTATTTTGATTTTCGTTTGTTTAAAATAAATTCAAACATTGAAAACACATTTTTATACGGCCGTTTACAGGATGTATTATGGTATAACGTTGTCCTTCTGTCGTCAACATGTCGAACATTAACTCAAAAACGCTTTAACCAATTTGCATGAAACTTTGGTGAATTGTTTGTATCTATTGACCTGAGCACTCTTTCGTTTTTTATAAATTTTAAATTTAACGTTTCTGAGTTCTGGGGTTTTATTCATTACAAAAAGGGGGTTTTCCAGTTTTCGGACAATAACTCAAAAACGCTTTCACCAATTTGCAAGAAACTTTGGTGAATTGCTTATATATATGGCCATGAGCTCCCTTTTGATTTTTATAAATTTTAGATTTTACATTTCCGAGTTAATGGGTTTTATTCATTAAAAACGGAGGGTTTCCAGTTTTTGGACAATAACTCAAAAATGTTTAAGCATTTTTCATGATTTATGTGATTTTATTCATAAAAAAGGGGGGTTTTCCACTTTTCAGACAGTGCTTTGAGCAGTTATCATGAGACTTTGGTGATGGGTTTATATCGATTAAGATAACCTCCTTTAGTTTTTCATGAATTTCTGATATGACATTGAGAAGTTATTGAACTTTATTCTTTGAAAAAGCGACGGGCGTATCATGCGCGCATGGCACAGCTGTTTATTCATTAAAGCATTGGTTTCCATTTCGCTTAGTTTTATTTTCAAAACTACTTAGTCTTTAATAAATGCAATTGTGCTTGACCTGTTGCAAACTAAATAATTCAGGGACTTTGATTTAACTTTATTCCAGAAAATTCATAGCAGTAATTGTGTTTTTGTATTACAGGTTTGGAATTTGACTAACTGTAAACTGAAAACCAACCACATTGGACATACTGGTTACTTGAATACTGTTACTGTTTCTCCTGATGGCTCACTGTGTGCATCTGGAGGAAAGGTTTGTATGACATAGATCTAAATAAAAACACTAACCTGACACCAAGGGATTGTATCTCACGGCTTTGCTGTCAACTTCTATGACCTCCAAAAAACACTGATAAAAAAGTTGCTACATGTTATAATAATTGGAACTTTCATCCTTTATTTAATATTTGAAATATAGATAAATATTTTTGAAGACATAGTGATAGATGTAGATACCTTTGTTTGTGTTGCCAATGATTATTACAATACATGTATTAGCTATTGATAAACATGAAACTATTGATTTCTATGAGGCATTATTGATATCTACACCAAGCTCAAGAAAAATAGCATGTAATTTTTTTTGGAAAGATTGGAAAATTTTCAAAAAACACTGGCCTCATCAAAACAGGATGTAGCCAGGTTAGCTACTAAATCTATAGTGTACACACACCTGACATATAGCTCTCAGTAATTTCAATTACTGTGTACATTTGCACAAACAAACTTAAAAATTTTGGATCATGTAGGTTTTGAAAAACAAAAGTTTTTTTACTTAGCCAGGCAAAAGTGGACTGGTGTAGGTTATAAGCAGTATATACCACATAAACCTATCATAAACACAGTACATAATCAATTCTTACTTATATGGCACATTAAACTTTATCTTATCTGAGGGCTGTTCCATTTAAACATACATGGTACCCAGGGATGGCACTTTAAAAATGGAGAAACCAACTATAGAGGCAATTTAGAATTTTTCTTTACGTTTTCACTGTTCAAAATAATTTTAACACTCGAGCTCACTCCCTGTGATTTCAAAGCACCTTTCCTGGGTCCCATGTATGTTTTTATGGAACAGCCCTTATATTGTTTCATTCATTAGAATAACTAGCATGCTAACTTAAAAATGGTTAAAACCTACAAAATAAAAGTAAATGAAACATCGTCTTAAACAATATCGATTGTAAAATGGTATACACTTACAGTTGAAAGCATAAATTTGCCTACAGCATGTACAGAATACAAAACACTTTAGCATGTATCAAGTGATCTTGTGATACCCAATGATTATATTTTTTCACAATTATTTGAAATCTTATGAAAAAATCCTGCAAATATGAGGGTATCTGGGTTAGCTTAAGACAAAAATGGATGTGAAAATTGTGATAGTTTACCTGGTTGGACTTGTCAGAGAGCATATATTTTACTTGATTATGTCAAAGGTCCTGTTCAATGAAAGAATAAAATAAGTGTCCTTTATTACAATTTATTTATATATAACAATCATTGATTACAATGGTTTCATCACGTTGCTACAGGGTAGGTGATTCAGTCTTAAATTGCTCACTTACAACAGGGTTCTAAAAAAATCTCAGTAAGAAATTGCATTCAACTTATCATAAACAATACACGATCAAGTCTTATATGGCAAATTTCTAACATGAAAAAGGGTCAAAATTCCAAACATAGAAAACAAATAAAGGAAAAGCTTTAATAAAACATGATAGATTGTTAAATGCCAATTGAATTTGAATTAATAGATTGTTAAATGCCAATTAAAGTTGAATGGGTGCACTGTCAGTAGAAAGAATAAAGTTCGAACTCAAAACTTTAGGCTGATGTTGGTATAAAGTATTAAGTTATCATGTGATGCCCAATGATTATATTTTTTCACATTCAATTGAAAAATAATGAAAAAATCCTGCAAATATGAGGGCATCTTATAGCTTAAAATAAAAATGGATATGAAAATTGAAATAGTTCATATGATGACTCTGAAAATATAGTAAAAATCTATTAATATATCATGTGTATCTTATGTAATGTTGCTCTATCGGTGAAAAATTGCAACTGATGATTGGTTATAATTGATTAAGCCAAACCAATCAATGTGATTATGGAGTCAATTTTTGTTTTAAGAGCAAACAGCAACATTTCAAATAAACATACACTGGACTTTAGCAACTAACAACCAATCAATCAAATAAACACATAACTATAGATAAATAAATATGAAATTTAATATGCTGACCATGGGAGGGCTGTATAGCCAGTCAAGGTCGTTAAAAACTCCCATCATGAAATTTAACCATAGATTTTCCAGTTGGATTGCCTTATCCAATCATTTTTCTATAATAATGGCTCATCACCATATATTAACTTATGAAATGGCTTTATCAATTTTTCACCTGAATAAGTTCTCAATATGAACATGTCCTTCATTTTAAATATATATCAACAAATTGACAAAAGCATTTGGTGCCTCTGACTTAACCTGTTTTTATACGACCGCAAAAAAATTTTGAGGTCGTATATTAGTATGACGTTGGCGTCGTCGTCGTCGTCCGAATACACAATGGTTTTCGCACTCTAACTTTAGTTTAAGTGAATGGATCTCTATGAAATTTTACCATAAGGTTCAATACCACAATAGGAAGGTTGGGATTGATTTTGGGGGTTATGGTACCAACAGTTAAGGAATTAGGGGCCAAAAAGGGGCCGAAAATAAGCATTTTTGTAACTTCCAGACATAACTTGTGTGTTAGCATATGGATCTCTTTGACATTGTACCACAAGATTCCATATCACAAAGGGTCAATGCTGGGATTGATTTTGGGGTTAATTGCCTCAAAATTTTAGGAATAAGGGGCCAAAAGGGGGCAAAAAACAAGCATTTTTCTAGTTTCATGACAATAACTTGTGTGTAAGTGTATGGATCTTTCTGAAATTTTACTACAAGGTTCCATTTCACAAAGGGAAAGCTGGAATTGAGTGTTGTGGTAATTGCCCAAAACGTTTAGTAATAAGGGGCCTAAAAAGGGGTTTAAAATAAGCATTTTTTAGTTTCTAGACAATAACTTGTGTTCAAGTGTATGGATCTCTCTAAAATTGTATTACAAGGTACCAAACCACAAAGGCAAGGCTGTTATTGAGCTTGGTTTGGGGGGAAAGGGGGGTGGGGGTGATGAATCATAAGGGGGGCGGGGTCAAAAAAGGGGTAATTTTTTTTTTCCTTTTTTATTTGTTTAAAATTTACATTTTAAGTTAGTTATTTTTTATCACGAAGAGAAAGTAGGAATTGAGTTTTGGGGTTAATTGCTCAAACATTTATGAATAAGGGGCCAAATATTGGTCAAAAATAAGGATTTTTTTAGTTTGCAACAAAAACTTGTGTTCAAGTGTATGGATCTCTGTGAAATTGTATTGCAATGTACCATACCACAAATTGAAGGTTGTGATTGAGGTGGGGGATGATGAATCAAAAGGGGGTTGAAAAAATGTGTGGGAGGTAGGATTTTTTTTTTCCTTTTTTTTCTTTAAAATTTTCCATTTAAAGATGGTTGTTTCAGATTTATATATGGAAGAAAATAATAATGATACGGTTATATATCATGAGGAATTGAAATTTAAAATTATGTATATTGGAAATTTAAGTTACATTGGAAAGTAATAATTGGCTTTGGGGGGGGGGGTTATGGCTCTAATGTTTAAGGAATAAGGGGAAAAAAGGTTAAAAAACAAGGGTTTCCATTTTAATAGACAAATAATTGAGTAAAGAACATTATTTAAAAGCAGTGTAAGGTTGGTAATTCAAACTCATTTAAATATCTCATCTACACTGCTTTTAAATTATGTAAATTGGAAATTTGCCAATAACTTTATTGTTAATAAATGCATTGGAAATTTGCCAACAATTTTAGTGTAATAAACTTCATTGGAAATTTGCCAATATAAAATTTTGCTGATGAAGGTTTTTTGTTTACCTTTAGCCTTGACTATGAAGTCATTTTTATCTATTTTTATAGCCTTATGATGTAGTTGAATTATTTAATACTTTTATGATGTGTTTAAATGGGGTTTTATCATGTTTATGGTTGCAAATTTATTGTTTTAGTATAATAAACTCCCTTTAAAATTTGCCAATAAAAAAAAAATTTGTTTATTTTTAGCTATGATTATGATGTCATTTTCTATTTTACTTTTATGGTTGCAAAGAAATTTTTATTTTTAGATATTACTGTTAAATGATGCTGATTAAGGTTTTTGCTATGTTTAGCCATGACTATGATGTCATTTTCTATTTTAATATCTGTTATGATGTATTTAAATAGGCTTTTATGGTTACAAAGGAATTTTATTTTTAGATATTACTATAAAATGTTGCTGATGCTGATTAAGGATTTTGTTTATTTTTAGCCATGACTATGATGTCATTTTCTATTTTAATACCTTTGTGATGTAATTTCCATTTTTATACGACCGCAAAAATTAAAAATTTTTTGGTCGTATATTGGTATGACGTTGGCGTCGTCGTCGTCGTCGTCCGAAGACACATTGGTTTTCGCACTCTAACTTTAGTTTAAGTAAATGGATCTCCATGAAATTTTACCATAAGGTTCAATACCATGAAAGGAAGGTTGGGATTGATTTTGGGGGTTATGGTACCAACAGTTAAGGAATTAAGGGCCAAAAAGGGGCCAAAAATAAGCATTTTTGTAACTTCCAGACAATAACTTGTGTGTAAGTGTATGGATCTCTCTGACATTGTACCACAAGGTTCTATATCACAAAGGAAAGGCTGTAATTGATTTTGGGGGTAATTGCCTCAAAATTTTAGGAATTAGGGGCAAAAAACAAGCATTTTTCTAGTTTCATGACAATAACTTGTGTGTAAGTGTTTGGATATTTCTGAAATTGTACTACAAGGTTCCATATCACAGAGGGAAAGCTGGAATTGAGTTTGGGGGTAATTGCCTGAAACGTTTAGGCATTGGGGGCCAAAAAGGGGCCAAAAATAAGCATTTTTCTAGTTTCCAGACAATAACTTGTGTTCAAGTGTATGGATCTCTCTGAAATTGTACTGCAAGGTACCATACCACAAAGGGAAGGCTGGGATTGAGTTTGGGGGTGATGAATCATAAGGGGGTTCAAAAAATTTGGGGGGGGATTTTTTTCTTTTCTTTTTTTTTCTTTTTTTCCTTTTTTTTTTCTTTAAAAATTTTCCATTTTAAGTTGGTTATTTCTGATTAATATTTAAAAGCAAATAATAATGATATGGTAGGAGATACACACCAAACAGGATGTGTAAATTATTATCTAATAAGTATTGTGCAATAGCAAGAAATTTTCAATTGCACAGTATTGCACAATAGCAAGAAATCTTCAATTGCACAGTATTGCGCAATAGCAAGAAATCTTCAATTGCACAGTATTGCGCAATAGCAAGAAATATCCAATAGCACAATATTGCGCAATAGCAAGAAATTGTCAATTGTACAGTATTGCGCAATAGCAAGAAATATTCAATTGCACAGTATTGTGCAAAAGAAGATACTTCGTATAAATTGCTTATTTCTTGATCAATTTCAATGGGGTTTTATTCTTGAATTCTTGGGGTTCTTTAATATGCTGAATCTAACCGTGTATTAAGTTTTTGGATTTTGGGCCCCGTTTTTAAATTGGTCCACATTGAGGTCCAAAGGGTCCAAAATTTAACTTTGTTTGATTTCATCAAAAATTGAATTATTGGGGTTTTTTGATATGCCGAATCTAACCGTGTATTTAGATTCTTAATTTTTGGTTCCGTTTTCAAATTGGTCTACATTAAGGTCCAAAGGGTCCAAAATTAAACTTAGTTTGATTTTAACAAAAATTGAATTTTTAGTGTTCTTTGATATGCTGAATCTAAACATGTATTTAGATTTTTGATTATGGGCCCAGTTTTCAAGTTGGTCCAAATCGGGGTCAAAAATTAAACTTTGTTTGATTTCATCAAAAATTGAATTCTTGGGGTTCTTTGATATGCTGAATCTAACCATGTATTTAGATTTTGGATATTGGACCATAATAGGTGAATGTCCAATTTAAAATTTTTAAGTTCTTAGACCACATTCATTCTGTGTCAGAAACCTATGCTGTGTCAAATATTTAATCACAATCCAAATTCAGAGCTGTATCAAGCTTGAATGTTGTGTCCATACTTGCCCCAACTGTTCAGGGTTCGACCTCTGCGGTTGTATCAAGCTGCGCCCTGCGGAGCATTTTATTAGATATTACTGTTAAATGATGCTGATTAAGGGTTTTTTGCTATGTTTAGCCATGACTATGATGTCATTTTTATACGACCGCAAAAAAATTTTGTGGTCGTATATTGGTATGACGTTGGCGTCGTCGTCGTCTCCGGCGTCGTCGTCCGAATACATATTGGTTTTCGCACTCTAACTTTAGTTTAAGTGAATGGATCTTTTTGAAATTTGACCATAAGGTTAAATACCACAAAAGGAAGGTTGGGATTGATTTTGGGGGTTATGGTACCAACAGTTAAGGACTTAGGGGCCAAAAAGGGGCCAAAAATGAGCATTTTCTAGTTTCCAGACAATAACTGTGGAACGGTGTATGGATCTCTCTGAAATTATACTACAAGTTTCCATACCACAAAGGGACGGTTAGGATTTGCTTTGGGGGGTTATGGCTCAAACCGTTTAGGAATTAGGGGCAAAAAAGGGGGAAAAACAAGGTTGTCCTGGTTAATGGACAAATACTTTAGTACAAAACATAATTTAAAGCAGTGTAAGGGAGATAAATCAAATACATCATTGAAATTATCTCCCTTACACTGCTTTTAAATTATGTATAAAGTAATGGTTAATGACCAATAAAGATAATCTAAAACAGTGTAAGGGAGGTAATCCAAATACAACGTTTTGGTTACTTCCCTTACACTGCTTTTAAATTATGTTTAAAGAAATGCATATTTATAAAGGAAGACCAGTAAAAATATCTGCAAATGTTTTCATCTTTTTTTTTTACAAAAAAATCCATATGAAAGATTTGACACTATATTTTTATTAATTCTATTATAAATTAGATTAAGTTAGCACTATGGTAGATTTAAATGGGTAATTATGGTTGCCAACTCCATTGGAAATTTGAATTGAGATTATGACCATATCTTGAGGGAAAGAATTTTTTTGGGGGAAAAAGAGGGGGGGGGGGGGGGATAAAAAGAAATTGTGGGGGGCCAATTTTTTCTCATTTCAGATTTCAGAAATTAAAAAGAATTATTCTTCAAATATTATTTTTTTTTCAAATTTCAAATATTGAAAAATTTCAAGAAGTAATCTTTAATTGCACAGTATGGCGCATTAGATTTGTAAAATCTTTGATCACATTTATTTATTTGTTATGCCGAATCTAACAGTGTATTTAGATTTTAAATTTTGGGTCCAGTTTTCAAATTGGTCTACATTAATGTCCAAAGGGTCCAAAATTAAACTTTGTTTGATTTTAGCAAAAATTGAATATATGAGGTTCTTTGATATGCTGAATCTAAACATGTATTTAGATTTTTGATTTTTTGTCCCAGTTTTCAAGTTGGTCCAAATTGGGGTCCAAAATTAAACTTTGTTTGATTTCAACAAAAATTGAATATATGGGGTTCTTTGATATGCTGAATCTAACCATGTATTTAGATTTTTTATTTGTGGACCCCGTTATCTAATTGGTTCATATTGAGGTCAAAAGGGTCCAAAATTAAACTTTGTTTGATTTCATCTAAAATTGAATTATTGGGGTTCTTTGATATTCCAAATCTAACCGTGTATTTAGGTTTTTAATTTTGGGTCCTGTTTTTTTAAATTGGTCTACATTGAGGTCCAAAGGGTCCAAAATTAAACTTAGTTTGATTTTAACAAAAATTGAATTCTTGGGGTTCTTTGATTTGCTGAATCTAAACATGTGTTTAGATTTTTGATTATGGGCCCAGTTTTCAAGTTGGTCCAAGATAGGGTCCAGTATTTAAACTTTGTTTGATTTCAACAAAAATTGAATAAATGGGGTTCTTTGATATGCTGAATCTAAACATGTATTTAGATTTTTGATTATGGGCCCAGTTTTCAAGTTGGTCCAAATTGGGGTCCAAAATTAAACTTTGTTTGATTTCAACAAAAATTGAATATATGAGGTTCTTTGATATGCTGAATCTAACCATGTATTTAGATTTTTTATTTGTGGGCCCTGCTATCAAATTGGTTCATATTGAGGTCAAAAGGGTCCAAAATTAAACTTTGTTTGATTTCATCGAAAATTGAATTATTGGGGTTCTTTGATATGCCAAATCTAACCGTGTTTTTAGATTTTTAATTTGGGTCCCGTTTTTTAAATTGGTCTTCATTGAGGTCCAAAGGGTCCAAAATTAAACTTAGTTTGATTTTAACAAAAATTGAATTCTTGGGGTTCTTTGATATGCTGAATCTAAACATGTGTTTAGATTTTTGATTATGGGCCCAGTTTTCAAGTTGGTCCAAGTTGGGGTCCAAAATTAAACTTTTTTTGATTTCAACAAAAATTGAATATATGGGGTTCTTTGATATGCTGAATCTAACCATGAATTTAGAATTTTTATTTGTGGGCCCCGCTATCAAATTGGTTCAAATTGAGGTCAAAAGGGTCCAAAATTAAACTTTGTTTGATTTCATCAAAAATTGAATTATTGGGGTTCTTTGATATTCCAAATCTAACCGTGTATTTAGATTTTTAATTTTAAGTCCCGTTTTTTAAATTGGTCTACATTAAGGTCCAAAGGGTCCAAAATTAAACTTAAGTTTGATTTTAGCAAAAATTGAATTCTTGGGGTTCTTTGATATGCTGAATCTAAACATGTGTTTAGATTTTTGATTATGGGCCCAGTTTTCAAGTTTGTCCAAGTTGGGGTCCAAAATTAAACTTTGTTTGATTTTAACAAAAATTGAATATATGGGGTTCTTTGATATGCTGAATCTAACCATGTATTTTGATTTTGGACATTGGACCATAATAGGTAAATTAAAAAAATTCAAGTTCTTAGACCACATTCTTTCTGTGTCAGAAACCTATGCTGTGTCAAATATTTAATAACAATCCAAATTCAGAGCTGTATCAAGCTTGAATGTTGTGTCCATACTTGCCCCAACTGTTCAGGGTTCGACCTCTGCGGTCGTATCAAGCTGCGCCCCAGCGAAGCATTTTATCTATTCTAATATCTTTATGATGTATTTAAATGGGCTTTTATGGTTACAAAGGAATTTTATTTTTAGATATTACTTTAAATGTTGCTGATTAAGTATTTTTGTTTATTTTTAGCCATGACTATGATGTCACTTTCTATTTTAATACCTTTATGATGTATTTAAATGGGCTCCCATGTATTTAGATTTTTGATTATTTATACATGTTACCAAATTGGTCCACATTGAACAAAAACGGTCCAAATTTCAACTTTATTACATTACATCAAACATTGAATTCTACATATTCTTTGATATATTGAAATTAAAAAACAATTTAGTTTATGGATATTCCACCATAATAGGTAAATTAAATTTTTTCCAGTTCTTACACCACATTCATCCTGTGTCAGAAACCTATGCTGTGTCAAATATTTAATGACAATCCAAAGTCATAGCTGTATCAAGCTTGAATTTTGTGTCCATACTTGCCCCAACTGTTCAGGGTTCGACCTCTGCGGTCGTATCAAGCTGCGCCCCAGCGAAGCATTTTATTATGTTTATAGATAAAAGTTTACATGTTTCTGATATTTAATTGATTGGTTCCATGATATGTTCTAGAGTAATCTTATTTTAACAAATTGTTTTGTAGGACGGACAAGCCATGTTGTGGGATCTGAATGAAGGAAAACATTTGTACACATTAGACGGAGGTGATGTTATCAATGCATTGACCTTTAGTCCGAACAGATATTGGCTCTGTGCTGCTACCGGTCCAAGTATCAAAATATGGGTATGTATTTGTTATTTCAATAATTCATAGTCTTGACACATTTTAAGATATGTGAGTAAAGGAGATGGGAGTATTTATCAAGAAGACAGCAACAATATGCATGAAAACCTCAGTGTTCTAGGATTTTCATACATTTGCAACTTTCCACGGGAAAGTTAGTATCAAAAATTCACTTTCCCACAAGTTTAATGAACTTTCCCTTATTTTTATATTATTTGAAAAATGTTTTCATAATTTTCTTATTCCTTTTATCGCATGTTTATACATGTAGTTCAATTTGAAATTATGAACTCTGTTATTTCCTTTGAAATTAATTAGTTTGTCAAACTAGCTTGTGATTGTGTTGATAATTCAATGTCATGTTCATCTAGATATACAAAAAATTTGATGGAATATATTAATTTTGTTTTGAAATATATTAATTTAAGTTTGACACATGTCTATTTGTGACATAAACAATGTAACTTCAGTAATTCAAATGTATTGGCACAAAAAAGTGATAACATTTCAAGCAGAAAATCAACAATTTGAGATCCGGATATTAAATCTTTTACCGTTTGCATTCCGGTTATTAGTTTTTTGCGTCTAGATCAGATGGATGCTTGAAATCACGGATTTCCCTTGCTTAGCTAGCAAGCGTCTTTATGACTGTGATTGCGAAACATGTGCGCACGTTTCTCTCCCCTAGACTTTAAAACCCCTGCATGATTTACACCAACAAAAACGATCTTGCCTTGAGACTTTGATTGAAATAAAAGATTTAAAGAATACAACTGTATTTTAAAACCATGATTGATTAATATTTTTAAAAAGTTTAAAAGATTTTTTTTTTTTTATTTATTGATATAATACAGTTGAACCTCGTTGTATCGAACTCGGTTGTGTCGAAAACTCGGATAAGTCAAAGTAATTTATCGGTCCCGGTAAAATTCCTGTTTGATCAATGCATAATTACCTCTGATGAGTCAAACTCGGTTGATTCGAATACTCGGTTATGTCGAGTAAATTTCATAGTCCCGTCGATATAAAATTAATGTAAATTCACTTGATGTCTCGAAGTTCGAAAGTAAGAATTTTCGAAAGATGCAGACCTAATGATAAAAACTCGGATCGAATGTATTTCTTATGTAACCTAATCATTTTCAAAAGAGATGAAAGCTGAGTAAACATACTTGTTTGTATAACAGTTAAATTGACATGTTTATGGTTGACGGTAATTAACACCTTTGTTGATTGTTCAAGCGGAACTTTAGTGTGTTGAACATATTTCACATGATATAAAAACGAAACGAATTTAAATGACACTAGCCGAGATTAAATCAATCATTAGAATTAAAACTCATTAATTACAATAAATAAAGGATTAAGACAATTATGATAAATTCATGATCATTTAATGTACAGCAGACACCCTCATCAGAGACCGTTCAAAACTTTTTCGTTCCACGAATGATTTCATAATTTATAGTGACTGACCTTTATAAATATTTGTATAGACTATTGATTTTATTTGTGCATGATTTGTATATGTTCTTGTGTGCTTGATTATTATGAAGGACCAACAATGGCGATTGCATACACAATTATAAAGTGTCATATCGAAAAAAGGCACACTGTTCAAAGTATCTAGTTTACGCAAATCTCATACCGTATTTCTTGCATTACAATTTTTGACGACACACTCGACCTCGGATGAGTCGAATACTTTGGCCCAGTCCCTTCGACTTTGACACAACGAGGTTTGACTGTAGTTAAATGCTGACTTAATTAGATATGCCATTGAGATTTTAATTAAGTGAGAATACGTTGATTTGATACATTGGAGCACCCAATGATTATATATTTTCACAGATTGTTGACAGCAATGAAAAAATCCTGCAAATATGAGGGTGTATGATTCTTTAATATCTTGTATGAACTTGAACTATATACTGTAAATTCAGAAATTATTGCGAGGTTTTTATTATTGCGACAAATGCGACAGAGTTGTAAACGCAATAATTTAAACTCGCATTTTGAAATATTTTATATGAACTAAACAGGATTTTTCTCAAACTCGTAAAAATTAAAATCGCATTTAAGTCTAAAATGACAAAATCGCAATAATAAATGCACGCAATAATTTCTGAATTTACAGTATATATATATATATATATATCAATGAGGAGATGTGTTATGATTTCCAATGCGACAACTATCTACCAGCGAATGATGGACAAATGCTGTAAACAACTTAAGGGCACAGTACTGTCTTCAGTGATGAACAAATTCCATATCATATAGTAAGCTGTATTAAAAGGGTTGGCATGAAAAAATGTGAAACAAATCAAAGTAAAAAAAAACTAGGTTTATACCGATCTTAATCTCAAAAGCCACAGTGAGGCCTCCTCCATAGAGTAAAAGCTGACACCTCACTGCAATTTGGCTGTCCCTAGGACCAGTTTAAGTCTTAATTCTTTTACAGAAGTAAATCACAATACATTTAGCAATAGAAGAACACAAGAGTGGTTATTTTAGCAAATTCAAAGACTATAACAGGAACAGGAAATAAGTCACAAAATGTATATGTGTCTCACTATAATGCATATTTTCCATTTATGTGTGAATGTAAAGTTTTTTAACCACAAATTAAAAAAATTGACAACCATTTATTTTTTAAAAGAAAATATGAACGTTGGCCTCAACAAATAAGAGTTTTATGCAATCCTCAAGGATATGAGAAATGCCTGAAATAAGTTTACAAAACTTTACTATAAAGAAGATATTTTCTTGTTCACTTAATGAATATATACTTTTTTTTACAGGATCTTGAAGGAAAGATCGTCGTTGATGAGCTCAGACAAGAAGTCATTTCAGCAAGCTCCAAAGCACAAGCTCCACAGTGTATATCTCTAGCATGGTCATCAGACGGACAAACGCTATTTGCTGGATACACAGACAACCTGATTCGGGTCTGGCAGGTGTCTATGGCAGCAAGATAAAATTAAGTGACATTGATCCATGGAGATAGTGCTGTGAAATAAAAAAAACTTCCTGAAGAAAATATCTTGTTCAACCTTTCTGCGTTTACCAAGAATAGTTTTGGTCTTCATGGACACAAAACTAGGCCAAGAAGGCGTTTTATTAGATCATAAGTCTTAAAGGCCTAAATGATGAGCTTAAGCCATTACTTAGTGTCCATCAGTCATAATCTTTATAGAATATCCCCCCCACTACTGAACTCATACAAAGAAAACTTCACATAATAGATCCTGAAGGTGTCTTAATTGTTGTTTAGACATTATATTAGTATATATCAACAAACATTATATGCCTGTTTACAGGACGTATTATGGTATACTGCTGTCCGTCGTCAACATGTCGGACATTTACTCAAAAACGCTTCAACTAATTTGCATAAAACTTTGGTGAATTGTTCATATCTCTTGATGTGAGCTCCCTTTCGTTTTTTATAAAATTTAGATTTTACTTTTCTGAGTTATGGGGTTTTATTCATTAAAAAAGGGGGGATTTTCCAGTTTTCGGACAATAACTCAAAAATGCTTTCACCAATTTGCAAGAAACTTTAGTCAATTGTTTATATCTATTGACATGAGCTCCCTTTTGATTTTTATAAATTTTAGATTTTATGTTTCCGAGTTTAGAGTTTTATTCATTAAAAAAATGGGGGATTTTCCAGGTTTCAAACAATAACTCAAAAATGCTTTCGGCAGTTCTCATGAAAATTTTGAGAATTGTTTATATCTATTGATTTAAGCCCCCTTTCAATTTTTATAAATTTTAGATTTTACACTTCTTGAGTTATGGGATTTTATTCATAAAAAAGGTGTGGATTTTATTCATAAAAAAGGTGTGATTTTCTAGTTTTCGGACAATACCTTTAAAGTGCTTTGAGCAGTTTTCATTAAAATTGGGTGACTGGGTTATATCCATTAAGATAACCTACCTTTATTATTTATGACATTGAGAAGTTATTGAACTTTATTCGTAAAAAATGCGAAGGGCGTATCATGCGCTCATGGCGCACACCTGTTTATTGTCGAGCCTTCGACTTTGTCGAAAAAGCGAGACATAGCGATCCTACATTCCGTCGGCGTCGTCGTCGTCGTCGTCGTCGTCGGCGGCGTCCACAAATATTCACTCTGTGGTTAAAGTTTTTGAAATTTTAATAACTTTCTTAAACTATCCTGGATGTCTACCAAACTTGGACAGAAGCTTGTTTATGATCATAAGATAATATTCAAATGTAAATTTTGTAAAAAAAAAATTCCATTTTTTCCGTATTTTACTTATAAATGGACTTAGTTTTTCTGCCAGGAAACATTACATTCACTCTGTGGTTAAAGTTTTTGAAATTTTAATAACTTTCTTAAACTATCCTGGATTTCTACCAAACTTGGACAGAAGCTTGTTTATGATCATAAGATAGTATCCAGAAGGAAATTTGAAAAAAAAAAAATCCATTTTTTACGACTTTTACTTATAAATGGACTTAGTTTTTCTGCCAGTTAACATTACATTCACTCTGTGGTTAAAGTTTTTAAAATTTTAACAACTTTCTTAAACTATCCTGGATTTGTACCAAACTTGGACAGAAGCTTGTTCATGATTAAAAGCTAGTATCTAGAAGGAAATTTTGTTAAAATTTTGTTCCATTTTTCCGTATTTTACTTATAAATGGACTTAGTTTTTCTTCCAGTTAACATTACATACAGTCTGCAGTTTAAGTTTTTATAACATTTATTAGATTCATAAACTATCCTGGATTTTTACCAAACTTGGACAGAAGCTACTTACAATCTAAAGATAGTATAGAGAGGAATATTTTTATTAATTTTTTTCCTCATTTTTTTTTAGCCTGTGATTAACAGCAAAAGTAGGCGAGACACTGGGTTCCGCGGAACCCTTACGAATTTTTATATTTTAAACGGGTTTTCTGAAGGAAAAATTCTGTTATTAAATTAGTGAAGTATGGTGGATAGGTAGCTTGCTACCAACTGTTTATGTGCAACTTATGAATCGTTCAACCAATGCTTTTGAAAGTTTAATATGTTGATACTGATGACAATCAATTTTGATTTACCTTTTTAAACTTGGAAAATCATAATAGAATAACTACAAAAAAAGACAAAGGAAAATGTGAATTTTAATGAACCCATTTATCAACTCCTTATAAGAGTTAATGCCCTTAAAGTACTATTTTGTATTTATCTTGAAAATTATAAATGGACATACCATGAAAAAATCAAAAAAATCTGTAACAATACAAGATCTACCAAATGCCAATATGACTGAATACATAAATTGACCTGGTATATTGTATTGCTCTTATGAAATAAGGATTTTATTTTTACCTATCATCTTTAAAACTATGACAGACTGAAACAACACTGTCAAATCAAAGCAAAATCTTAAAAAACATAAAATGATTGGAACCATTTATCAACTACTTGTAGAAGTTATTGCACTTAAAAAGAGAGGCAAAAGATACCAAAAAGATCTTTGAACTTGTAAGCCGAAAATGACAACTTCTGAAAACTAATATAGAAAGACCAAAAACCTTTAAACAGCAAAAATGATCAGCAATACAAGATATGAATGATTGGATAAATTTTGTAAAGATTGTTTAAGCTCACCTGGTCTAAATGCAAAATGAGCTAATGCTATCACTTGGCCTCTGTCTTCTTAAACTTTTTTCAAAGGTCTCCTCCCCTGAAACTACTGAACCAAACTTGGGGTGAACAATCCTTTTGGTATCTGTATAAAGTGTGTGTTTTTTTTTCAAATTCTGCTGTCAACCAAGCTGCCATGGCTTATAAACAACATAGAGTTTAAATGCTGTTTGTATACGACCGCAAAAAATATTTGCGGTCGTATATTGGTATGGTGTCGGTGTCGTCGTCCGAAGACGCATTGGTTTTCGCACTCTTAACTTTAGTTTAAGTGAATTGATCTCTATGAAATTTTACCATAAGGTTCAATACCTCAAAAGGAAGGTTGGGATTGATTTTGGGGTTATGGTACCAACAGTACCAAAAAGGGGCCAAAAATCAGCATTTTTGTAACTTCCAGACATAACTTGTGTGTTAGTGTATGGATCTCTCTGACATTGTACCACAAGGTTCCATATCACATAGGGAATGCTGGGATTGATTTTGGGGGTAATTGCCTCAAAATATTAGGAATTAGGGGCAAAAAAAAAGCATTTTTCTAGTTTCATGATAATAACTTGTGTGTAAGTGTATGGATCTTTCTGAAATTGTACTACAAGGTTCCATATCACAAAGGGAAAGCTGGAATTGATTTTGGGGGTAATTGCCCAAAACATTTAGGAAAAAGGGGCCAAAAATAAGCATTTTTCTAGTTTCCAGACAATAAGTTGTGTTCAAGTGTATGGATCTCTCTGAAATTGTACTGCAAGGTACCATACCACAAAGGGAAGGCTGGGATTGAGTTTGGGGGTGATGAATCATAAGGGGTTCAAAAAATTTGGGGGGTTTCCTTTTTTTTCTTTTAAAATTTTCCATTTTAAGTTGGTTATTTCTGTGTTATATTTAAAAGCAAATAATAATGATATGGTAGTAGATACACACCAAACAGGATGTGTTAATTTTTATATAATAAGTATTGTGCAATAGCAACAAATTTTCAATTGCACAGTATTGCACAATAGCAAGAAATCTTCAATTGCACAGTATTGCGCAATAGCAAGAAATCTTCAATTCCACAGTATTGTGCAATAGCAAGAAATATCCAATAGCACAATATTGCGCAATAGCAAGAAATTGTCAATTGTACAGTATTGTGCAATAGCAAGAAATATTCAATTGCACAGTATTGTGCAAAAGAAGATACTTCGTATAAATTGCTTATTTCTTGACCAATTTCAATGGGGTTTTATTCTTGAATTCTTGGGGTTCTTTAATATGCTGATTCTAACCGTGTATTAAGTTTTTATACGACCGCAAAAAAATTTTTGTGGTCGTATATTGGTATGACGTCGTCGTCGTCGTCCGGCGTCGTCGTCCGAATACACATTAGTTTTCGCACTCTAACTTTAGTTTAAGTGAATGGATCTCATTGAAATTTTACCATAAGGTTCAATACCACAAAAGGAAGGTGGGGATTGATTTTGGGGGTTATGGTACTAACAGTTAAGGAATTAGGGGCCAAAAGGGGCTAAAAATAAGCATTTTTGTAACTTCCAGACATAACTTGTGTGTAAGTGTATGGATCTCTCTGACATTGTACCACAAGGTTCCATATCACAAAGGGAATGCTGGGATTGATTTTGGGGGTAATTGTCTCCAAATTTTAGGAATTAGGGGCCAAAAAGGGGCAAAAAACAAGCATTTTTCTAGTTTCATGACAATAACTTGTTTGTAAGTGTATGGATCTTTATGAAATTGTACTACAAGGTTCCATATCACAAAGGGAATACTGGGATTGATTTTTGGGGTAATTTCCTCCAAATATTAGGAATTAGGGGCCAAAAAGGGGCAAAAAACAAGCATTTTTCTAGTTTCATGACAATAACTTGTTTGTAAGTGTATGGATCTTTATGAAATTGTACTACAAGGTTCCATATCACAAAGGGAAGGCTGGGATTGATTTTGGGGGTTTTTCCCTCAAAATTTTAGTAATTAGGGGCCATAAAAGGGCAAAAAAAAACATGCATTTTTCTAGTTTCAGGACAATAACTTGTGTGTAAGTGTATGGATCTTTATGAAATTGTACTGCAAGGTTCCATATCACAAAGGGAAAGCTGGAATTGAGTTTGGGGGTAATTGCCCTAAACGTTTAGGAATTTGGGGCCAAAAAGGGGCCAAAAAACAAGCATTTTTCTAGTTTCCAGACAATAACTTGTGTTAAAGTGTATGAATCTCTCTGAAATTGTACTGCAAGGTACCATACCACAAAGGGAAAGCTGGGATTGAGTTTGGGGGGCGATGAATCATAAGGGGGTTCAAAAAATTGGGGGGGGGGGGATTTTTTTTTCCCTTTTTTTTCTTTAACATTTTCCATTTTAAATTGGTTATTTCT